GCGCGCGCGCGTGTGCGTATGTGTGTGCGCGCGTGCGCGCGCGTGCAGCCGCCCCACAAGGTGTCGGGCTCGGAGCTAAGAGGACTCACGGGGTGGCCCTCACACCTCCGCAGGGGCAGGTGGAGACTAGCGGTGCTGAAAGCAGCTCCTTCATGGGGCCAGCACAGGTACTGCAGATGTCTCTTGCCGTTTTGTTGTGTCGGGAGAGTGCGTTCAGTAGCTGCTTCGGAGAATTGTAGGCTTTTTAACCTGGGGAGGCCGGGGATGTAGCTCAGCGGCGCGAGCACCTGCCCGGCAAGTGCAAGGTCCTGAGTTCGATTTCTGGTACCCCTCCCCCAATTTTTTTTGTCTTGCACAGGGAGTGCTTTTTCCCGTTGAGAAACCAGAAACTTTTACTAAAATGTTCCATTTCCTAGGTGCCGTTTTGGGTATACTTTATAAATGGCAGAGTTGGTTCACTACCACGGCAAGATACAATCCTGTGAGCACTTCAGCCAACCATTAAGTCACATGTGTGTGCACTGTGTATTGTATATAAACTTACATAATGGTTCTATTTTAGAGATGGAAGGAAATTAATCCACAATTAGTTGTCTCACAAATGTTAAAATAAAAATTTATTTTAACAAAGAAATTGCTATTTGTAATAATTATTTGTAACTTTTCCATTTTGATATTTAAAAACTACTGTAAACTATAAGTAATTATTGGAAATTTTTTTCTCCATTATTAGAGGTAAAGTGATAAAATGCTAATTTTTTCCTGATTATAAAATCATATTTACCCATTCGAAAATAATACTGTAAGAAAATATTAATTGCAAGACTGTGACTACTGTTAGTTTTCATTTTTATATTTTCAGATTATTTGTATGCTTGTGTTGCATAGAAATAGGTAAATTTTCTTTTATAATAACTATCATACAATACTATTTTATAATCTGCATCTTCCAATTAATATAGTTTGGTGTTAGTCCTAAGATAAGTTCAAAGTAATTTTTAATATATAATGTAAGAGTTATACTGTTACTTATTTCAATGAATTTCTTTATAATGAATTATTTTTCAATAGTTAAACAATTCTATAATGGATAGACTTATGTAAATACCTTGATGTACTAATACTATTAATTCTTTGAGATAAATTGCCATAAATGGAATTACTGGCTAAAAGAGCCATACTCCTTTTATGATAATTTTAAATTGTTTTCTCAAATTAATAAGGGGAAAATATTTCACTATATTGATGTCTTCAAAAAATTCATTAAAGTTAAAATTTATCATTAGTTGTATTTCAGTTTTTTCATAAATTTATACTTTGTATAGTTTTATTCATAAAACTATATTAATATTAGCCTTTTGTCATGTATAATAGAAAAATTTATGATGGTCTTGAGAAGGTGCCTTACTGTAGTCCCAATTTCAGTAGAAACCACTGTAGTATTTTCACTTTAAGGTCCATAATGAATTAGACTTAGGTTGATAAAAGATAAGATTCACCTGTTTTCTGTTTTGCTCGGCTTTTTAAAAGAATTACAAAATGAATGCTGTATTTTATCAAATGCATTTTCATTGATGAATTAAAGTAACAGATTTCCTAAGAATGAACCATCCTTGTATTTCCAGTTATGGGATTTTGAAAATAGACTGCTGGAATTTTCCATCTCTACACGTGAACAGGGGTATACCATCTTTATTAGGCTCCAGTTAGATGATGTTAGCTTTGTAAAATGCATTACACAATACTAAAATTTTTAAGAAAAGTGTGGTATTTGAATTTGCCTTTCTCTTCTGCCTCTTCTACCGTTGTTTCTGATGTCTTGGGTGGTCCCCCTACCCTTGATGTAGGCATCATTAAGTATTCTGTTAAGATTGTTTGTAAAAGACTTACGTTTATCTAGAAAGTTATCTATTTCATTTGAGATTTCCACACTTATTCCCATAGTTTAGATGTTTTTATAATTTATAATCATATCTTCTTTTTCACGTCTAGTACATAATTTTGCTTTCTTGCTTAGCTGTGCCAATTGCTTATTATGGTCTGGACACATGCAACTCAGAAATTCACTCTCGAATTTACTTAGTTGTTTTTTTCTAATTTTCATTTTCTTTTCCTTTAACTTTAGCCTTTTTATTCCTTCCTAGTCCTATGGATATAACTTAGATAACCACAAATTATACTTTTTCCTGGCCAATACATCTAGATCTGTTTGTTTACCATATAGACATAGTTAATGAATTAAATAATTTAACAGAGGTGACTTTCCAAAAACTTTAATAATGATAATTTTCTTCGAGTTTTAGTTATCTTTGGAGTACAGTACTGTCACTTTGATTACTTTGTTAGCTTTGAGCGCCATCTGCTGACAAGGATATAGGGGTGCCTGCCTTAATTTAAAACTACACTGCTAAAGTGACTAAGGACATTTTACATTTACTATTGTAGTTAAACAGAGAGCCAATTTGTAAGACCTAAACCAAGCCGTCAGTATATATGCCTTTTTCTCCTTACCAAATTACTGTTACCTCAGGCATCCATTTTGTTTTTGTAAATAGCATATGAGAATTAGAAGACAATCAGAGATATTTGCTAACCACTCTTTTTTCAAACAAGTCTGGAGATGTTGCTCAGTGGTAGAGCACTTGCTTTAGCGTTCTTAAACTCTCGAATTCAGTTTCCAGGACCACAGAAGAATGAAAATCCTGAGAATTGTGTTATGCTCTGCCACTTCATTGTAATGAAATACCACTCTTATCATAATTTTTTTTTTTTCTTTTTGAGACAGGGTCTCATGCCTTGAGCCCACTTTGTCGCCCAGGCTGGTCTCGAACTTGCAGCGATCCTCCTGCCTCAGCCTCCCTAGTGCTGGGACTATAGGCGTGCACCACCATGCCCTGCTCACTCTGTCATAATTAAAGGAAAAAATTCAGTATTCAAATGGAAATACAAATTAGCTTAAATTGATAGAGAAAGACAAAAACAACTTCAGTGATCAGATAATTTTAACTTCTAAAATTTCTGTAGAAAGTACTCTGCTAACCCTTTAAGATGTATATATCAGTTGGCTTTAGTCCTTGTTTTTTCTTTCATAAACAAAGTATGTATGTAACACTATTCTTTTGCAACCTTTGGTGTTTACCTCCTGTAAATAGCTTATTAAATGAGTTGCATTGAGTAGATGTGTCATAGTTTCTTCAGCTTCCAACTAGTTGTTAATAACATAACTATAAAATAATACTAAAAATCATTTTACTTCATAACCGAATTCCAAATGAGCAAGTGTGTCATAAAATAGTTTCCTAATTAGTTGTTAGTTAATAAAGCACCTATAAAATAAGTCAACTAAGGTAGAAAAACTAGGAGACAAATTTTCCAAAGAATCTTTCGAAAATAAATTCAAATGCCATGATTCTAACTTACATTGGCATAACATTTCATACTTTACAAACTGTATTTACAGATGTTAGTTACTTAATTTCATTCTCAAAGTAATTTGCCCAGAGATACACAGCTGGCAAGTAGCTTATGACCTAGTATGGGGTATGAATCTAGATCTGCTTAGTAAATGAGTTTTTGTTTCACTGTGCTACATTGCCTCTCCAATATATATATGTGTGTGTGTGTGTGTATATATATATATATAAACCATGTATAGTGTGTGTATGTGTATGTATATATATCTTTTTCACCCACACAGAAAATCTTTTGGTTTTTTTTGGTACCGGAAATCAAACTCAGGACCTTGTGCTTCCCAGGCAGGTGCTGTGCTACTGTTCCTCAGCCCCCATACAGGAAGTCTAGCTTTAGGAAATTTTACATTAACCTTGGGAGTCTACTGTAGGAAGGCTCAAGAGCTCTGAGTTCCAAAAACTGAGTTATGTGTGTGAGTTTCTGTATGTGAAAATAAGATGCTACCATTTATATCTATCAGCCCAGTGAAATTTTGAATTATCTGTGGTACCAATTTGGTATTGCTCAAAAAGAAAAATATTTACTTCAAAAGATGCTTTGAGCACTGTAGCATTAGGGAGGATTATAACCCCTGTTAGCAAGAGCTGTGATATGTGAGCAAATAACGTTTTCACGCTCCATTTCTAAAGTAAAGCGAGGAATGTTAAAGTTGTAAATTTCATGTTAATTTTGGTGAACAGAAAAAGCTAATGGAGAAAATTGGTTTAAAACTTCTGTGTTTGTTTTTTTTTGTTGTTTTGTTTTTGGTAGTGGTACTGGCATTCAGGGCCTTCATACTGAAGTGCATCCATGGCCCTTTTAAAAAATTTTTTGTTTTGTCATGAGGAAGTCTCACAAAGTGGCTATGTTGTCCAGGTTGAGCTCAAACTTCTCCATCCTCTTGCTTCAGCCTCCTGAGTACTGGGATCACAGGCATGCCTATCTTCATGCTTGTTTTCTTTTGATGCAGCTCTTTTTGTTTATTTGGTTCTGTTATTCTTCAGATTTATAGTGCTTTCTATTAATATACTTAGCAAAATGGAAGTTTTATCAGTACAGAGCAGAATAATTTTAATTTTAGTTACTACACATACGAACTTTTAAAACCAGTTCACAGTATATTTATAAAGTATAAAATTAGTATTCATTCACAGCATTGTACAAAAAATGGTGACAAGTAACAGCTGGTTTAGAAAAGTATCCTATATTCTGTTGAAACGTTATGCCAGTCTTCTCTATATCTTGAGCCTAAACTAAATTGTATTGGTGACTAATTTACAATAAAGGTAATTTACATAAAATATTTTATACTTTAAATATAAAAATTATGTTTCACAGTTGTGTTTTTTGTATATCTAATTATGGTGTCTGCTTTCTAAATTATAGTCTTCTACAAATTCTGAGACTCCAAACTCAACCATCTCCAGAGAGGCCAGTACTCAGTCCTCATCAGCTACCACCAGCCAAGGCTATGTTTTACCAGAAGGCAGAATCATGCCAAACACCATTTTTGTTGGTGGAATTGATATTAGGGTATTGTATTCATATTTTATTTACATTTTAAAATATGTTGTGAATAATGGGATTTAGGTCCTGTTGTAAACCTAAGGTTTTTTTATACTTCATGCAGATTTGAATTAGTTTCGTGTGTAACCATAGAAACTAAAATGTCTGACACAGAGTTACGGGTTTTAGGATACTTTGTGGAGATATTTCCTCACTACCAAATCTCCTTTTATAGATTTGAAATTTTTGAATGTTTATCTTTTTTAAAGTCCATTTCTTTTCCATAGATGGATGAAAGTGAAATAAGAAGTTTCTTTGCTAGATATGGTTCAGTGAAAGAAGTGAAGATAATCACGGATCGAACTGGTGTATCCAAAGGGTAAGTAAAATGTATGCCCACTGCAAATATTGAACTCTAGCATCTGTAGAATATCAAAAAACACAACTTAAAAAGTCATATTCTGACACTTGAGTAAAGGAGAATTGTTGCATAATTTTTTTCATGTAAAGGATAAAAGTTGGTTGTCAACTCTTAAAATCATTTGCCTAATGTTTATATTTCTTGTCTTCATTTTACAGAAGTGGATTGTTTTTATCAAAGAATTGTTATTGCAATTTTCACAGTATAAGATTTTAACTATTTGGCCTTACATAATAAATTACATTCAAATTCATAGTTAAGAATTTTTCTGTAACTGAATGAGGTTCCCATACTATCTTAATTTTAGTACATTCTGATGTGGACCTGGTTAAAATAAAAAAAAGTGATATATAGAGAGAGGATCTGTTATGTGTATTATCACTTTTATTATTCCATAGAATACCAAAATGTTCTAAACCATGTACTGTGTGGTGATGATTTTATGTTTTATTTATCTGCTTGTCTAGCTATGGATTTGTTTCATTTTATAATGACGTGGACGTGCAGAAGATAGTAGAAGTAAGTAATAGCTTCTCTTAGCTTATCAATGCAGTGTTTAGTGTTGAATATATTCAGTCTTGTGTAAAATACAAAGATACACATTTTTTCTTGCTTGAAGTAAAAATAGAATAGTCTTATATAACTTGTTAGAGCGTGTTCATTTTTGAGCATGTAGCTTCATGACCTAGACACAGGAAGGAGTGAAGACAGGGTAAAAGATTTTTTAAATTTTTATTTTATGGAAAAAAGTAAAAATAATAGGATAACAACAGAAGTTAATACATTTTATATTACTATCTTTAAAGTAGTTACTCAGAGTATAAGATACGGGCATAAAAAATTCTCTTAATATTAGCACAAACCTTCCTTTTCAAAGAACTAAGAGACACTAGCGGTATTTGCATTTTTTTCCTTTTCCCTTTCTCCCATCCTAGTTCCTTTTTCCTTTTGAACATTTTCTTCCCATTTCATAATATCTGTTGTGCATTTTAGACACTACTATTTCATTTTCTCATACCAGGGAGACAGTGCGATGTTAACACATGTGAGTCTAATTTATTTCACTTAGGAGTATGCTACTTGATAATCTGTTGCCACTTAGAGTATTGAGGATAAAATGGCTTCACAGTGACAAATTTTCATTTGTTGTATACTCACCACTGGTTTCTCTGATAATAGGAACTTTAGACAACTTGAGGTATTTACCTAAGTCTTGGAAGTAAAGACTTGAAAATTACAGTGTTACTACTGTTCTGTTTTCAGTCACAGATAAATTTCCATGGTAAAAAGCTGAAACTGGGCCCTGCAATCAGGAAACAAAATTTATGTGAGTAAAAAAGCAAATTGTTCTGTTGAAATGCATAGCTTTTCAAAGAATTTAAAATAGGCTTCATTTCTTTTTTTATTTTTAAAAAGGTGCTTATCATGTGCAGCCACGTCCTTTGATTTTTAATCCTCCTCCTCCGCCACAGTTTCAGAGTGTTTGGAGTAATCCAAATACTGAAACTTATGTGCAGCCTCCAACCATGATGAGTCCTATAACTCAGTATGTACAGGTAAGCATTGCTTGTGTTCCTCCTCCTTCATTTATCACAATTTTCTTAGCCTCTGGAATTATATTCACAGTTTCCGTAGTAGGTGATAATAGTCTTTGTTGAAGTACTTTGAATAACAAGGAATCTGTCACTTGAGTTACAAATCTCTCAATCTTAGTATTTCTTCTTAAACTGTGGTAAAAGCTGCTTTTATATAGTTTGTAAGCCTTTATCTTAATAACCTCTGTAACCATATAAAATAATTACCTTCTTTTTTCCTCATGTGATGTTTCCTAAAATCTTTGAAGGCAGGCTTTTTCTTTTTGTTTCTGCCCAGTTTATTCTCTGAGGTTCTCAGTTCTTGCAGCCATTCTTTGCAGGGATTTCCAGTTGTTTCCTCATACAAATTGCTGACTTCGGGGTTTATTCTACTTCTGGACTGGGTAAATTTGTGATGTATTTTACTGCATCTATGAACTGAGTTTCTGATATGTAATTTGTCTGATTCTAATTAATATTTATATTGGAGTTCAACATACTTGACATTGCCTGTTAATGATAAATAACAATTGTCTTTTTCATTTTACTTTCTTCAGCTTGAAAAACTTTTTCAGCACTATCTTAGTGAAATAATTAAAATAATTCAACACTGTCTCTTAATTTGTTTACTTTTCCATCTATCTGAAATATGGGTTGTGTCTGTACTTACTTTTCTTACTCTAAACATAACTAGAAACAGTCTACATTTACTGTGAACTGTTAAAGATTTTAGGTACTCAAGTATGCTGCTACTTCTATGTTTTCAGGTCAATAAATAAGCATGTAAGGCTTTGTAGTATTGTCCCTTTTCCAGTTTTGGATTAAATAGTTCTGAATTTCTAGAAGTGAAATGAAATAAAAGCCTTAAGATTGCAGGAATACTACAAACTTTCCATTACTATTGTCAGATTAATACAAAACTGTCTAAAAAAGTATTTTCATAAAGAAATGACAGGTGTGTCTATTTAAATTTTATGAAAATCTATCCTGTTTGAGCCTGATCGCCAGTGTATTAGGAATAATATTCTTTTTCATTTTTAATATTTATCTTCTATAAATTTTGTTTTCAGGCTTATCCTCCTTATCCAAATTCACCAGTTCAGGTCATCACTGGTTATCAACTGCCTGTTTATAATTACCAGGTAATTAAAGGGGAACAAAATGGCTTATGCTGGAATAATAATACGGCTTTTAATTTATTTATATAAATTTTCCAAATAGTATGCTGTTTAAACTAATAAAGTATGCCTAAAATTAAAGAAAAACAAGAATTAGTCTAGAATTAAGACTTGTATTCTTCATAACAATTATTTAAAAATAGTGGAATAATATTTGACTAGGAAAGAACTTTTTCCTAGAACTGTTTTCTAAGATTTGATATCTCCTATTTTATTTCACATAGTCCTCCATCATTGATGTTAAATAGCCAAAACATTCATAAAACTGTTGTAAAAATTTTTAGGATAGGTTGAAATAAAATTACCTAATTCTTAAGAGCTAGAATTCTGTTTGATAGAATTCAGCTACAAAATAGTTTTATAAATTTCTTCCCATACATACAACCTTTTTTTTAACCCATAACCTTATCTGTGGTAATAGTTTTAAGGAACCACTGTCTTTGAGTTTCCTGAACATTAGCTCTAGAAAACTGAGGAAAAGGGTTCTATATACAGAAATAACCACAAATATTTGGGCAAAATATTTCTGTATTTTGTAATTTTTGTCATAAAAAATTAAAGGAGCCAGGATGACTTTGTAAAAATGTGTAGCAATATTTGAATAAGTTTTGTGTTCTTTTTTTAAGATGCCACCACAATGGCCTGCTGGGGAGCAGAGGAGTTACGTTATACCTCCGGTAAAATGAATTACTGTAACTTACTCATTATATATTTCTTGAACATTTGCCATATCATGTATGTATGTAGATATTTTTAAATTCCTTTTTATACCATTATATTTTATTTTATTTTATTTTTTCTTTCTTTTTGGGTTTTTCTCCGGTACCGGGAACCGAACTCACGACCTTGCGCTTGCCAGGCTGGTGCTTTTTGCCGCTGAGCTAAATCCCCAGGCCCTTATATTTTATTTTTTTAAATATGATTACATTCTCCATGGGAGAAATAGTGCTTTTCATACCAAGTTGGTTTTGTGTGCTTCAGCAGTGGCTATTCTACATATGATAAGTGCACACTTATTAATAGACTATGTCATCCAATAAAAATAGTATGAATATAGATTTAGAATTAGAATTAAATGTAATCATAAAAATCTGAAGAGAGATGTTTTTGCTGTCAATATTGAAAAGGGGGTACTACTTCTAAAACATCAGCTTTTGTTACCTTCTATCTCACAGCAGGATTGGATATTTCAAGGCTATATGAAGTTGAAATTCTTAGGCACTGTTACTACATAGTAGTTTTTCTAGATTCCTTCTAATTCTGATTATGTTGACACTTACAGACCTTTTAAAATAGGAGATTGCATTTCATCTGTTCACTTTGAAACAGTTTTTGAAATAATGTTTCAATATAAAAACTGCATTAAAATTTACTATCAACTCATCATTTTGAAAATTAGATTACATAGAAATGTATGTGTGTATCTTTTTAATTATATAAATTTTTGTCACTTTACATATAGGCATATACAACTGTTAACTACCACTATAATGAAGTTGATCTAGGAGCTGAAGTTTTGCCAAATGAATGCTCAGTTCACGAAGCTACTTCATCCTCTGGAAACGCCCCACAGAAGGCAAACATCTAATTTTGTTTACTGATAATTTTATTCTATATTTATTTTCTAGGTTTTAATAATTTTTTAAGAAGCAGGCATCTTTATCTAGATTTAAAGATGGAACCCATAAACTGCAGGGCTTAAGTATAATTGACTGACATTTAGCTATTAATGTAAAGGGTAATGAAATTTCAGGCAGTATATATGCTTGGTTTCTGATTCAGTAATCCTTTTGTCCAGTTTCATTGTTTCTTTTTTTTTTTTAAATCATACTTTAGTAAATATTGTATCAGTATGATATGTCAGAATGCAAGGGAAGATTTCCATGAGAAGTTTACTTTTTTTTTTTTTGGTTTTTCTCTGGTACTGGAAATCGAACTCAGGACCTTGCGCTTGCCAGGCAGGCACTGTGCCACTGAGCTAAATCCCCAGCCCCCGAAGTTTACTTCTTGAAAGAGCAGTTAATGAAAACACTGTCCACCTTCTCTTTCACAAACATTTACTTAGCTATGTAGTACTAGACAATATTGAAGGTGTTCTTTCTATAACATATGACAGGAGCTCTCGAGTGGTGGGGTCAGTATTACTGAAATACTGAAGTAATTATAATTGGGTTTTTTACACTAGAGTAGTTACCTATCATAACAATACTCTCATTCTTGAATTCTTTATATGCCGAATGGGTGGACATGGGAAAGTAGTTGACGTGCTGAGAATATGCATCACACTGATCATTTGTTTTTCAGTGAAAAAAATGGTGGGAATTACTGAACCACAAGGTTAAAAATTCTTTGATACACAATTTTAAAATCGGAAAAAATATTAAAATAGTTTATAGTAGAATTATCAGGCTTTGTCCTGGATATTTTTCTTGAAACTAATATTAGAGTTTCTGTTTCTTATCTAACAGGAGAAATTAAAGAATCTTAGGCAAAATATCATAGTGTTTTAATAAAATCAGGGTTTTTTTTGGTACCGGGAATCAAACTCGTGACTTCACACTTGCCAGGCAGGTGCTGTGCTGCTGAACTATATCCCCAGACGAAAATCAGCTTTTAAAAGCCAGTATTCTATCAATAAGGTTATACGACATTCTGTTTAACATTTGAGAGAAAATTTACATACTGATAATGTGGAAAGAATTTTGAATCAGTGGAAGAATTCTTTAAAAATACCTATATATTCACTAAATTTTCTTTAAAAAGCCCTTAACCATGCATAAATGAAGTCTTTACTATAAACTTTGGTTATTTCAGAAATCTGTGGACCGAAGCATTCAGACCGTGGTATCTTGTCTGTTTAATCCAGAGAATAGACTGAGAAACACTCTTGTTACTCAAGATGACTACTTCAAGGTATGAAAGGAATCGTATGAGGGATTTTTTTAGAGTACATGTGTTAGCTTTCAAGTATCTTTCTTCATAGCATATGAATTTTGGGATTACTTAGAGAATTTGAAGTGGTGATATTTGACTATAACCCAGTAATCCACTGTGAGGGGGTTTTACCTGGCAGTGTGTTTTGTGGTGCTCAAACCTTAAAAAGTGTAGCTTGTCTTTAGGAAAGAACAGTGTACCAAAAGCTTATAATTTAAAGGATTCACAAGAGAAGACAGTTGGAAAATACTGGCTTGATCAAATATTACAAGAAAATTTTAGAAAGCAGAAGTTAATACATGAATATTCAACTAAACAGAAGACATGAACTATTTGAACAGTGTAGAAAGAAGTGATGAGTGAAGCAGTAGAGACAAATGGAAGTTGAATAGAAACAAATGGAAGTTGATTCATAGTAGGTGAAGTGAGACTGTGAGTGCTTGAATTGAAGAAAGATCTGGTTTCTAATTCTGCTTCTGTCCACCTTGGACAGGTTACTTAAATCTTAACTAAGACTCCAGGTTTGTGTGTGTGTGTGTGTGTGTGTATTGATGCTCGCAGTTAAACTTAGGGCCATCTGCATTCTAAGCATGTACTCCCAATGAGCTATATACATCCATCCCCCAAACTCCAGTTTTTGCAAGTCTAAACTGAAGAATGCACAGGACTGAAGGTCTTTTAGGTCCAGTGGGAAAGAATATAGTGTTTGGTAGGGGAAGATTTTTTTTTTTATTAGAGTGGTACTTCCATACTCATTGTTAGTTGATTCCAGGAAGCACAACATGTACCAAAGATGACTACCAAACAAATAGTTGGCTGAGAAGGGTAATGAGTCATGAGCCTTTTGATACTGATAAGTTCTAGCTTGCTTGTTGAGAACCAAATGACAAGTACTGGGACAAAATCTTTGAGTTAAAATGTGTTAAGTACCAAGGTATGATGTAGTAGACTTATAGAGATACATAATTTGGATACTATACAGTTCACTCGTTTAAAGTATGCAATTAAATATTTTAATATAGTCACAGAATTATACAACCGTGACTTCTATCAAGTTTAGAAACCCCACCACACACAAAATAAGCCTCCTACCCATCAGCAGTTACTCCCTGTTTTCCCCCAATCCCTCTGGCTTTAGGCAGCCACTAACTTACTTTTTCTAATGATTTTCCTATTTTAGACATTTCATATAGATTCATATAGTATCTGTCCTTTTATGACTGTCTTACTTTAGTAGCACAATATTTTCAAGGTTCACTGATGCTGTATGTCCATATTTCCTTATTTTTTATGAATATACCACACTTTGAATCATTAACTGGTAGACATTTGGGTTGTTTATACGTTTTGGTCTTTATGAATACTATGAACAATCATATATGAATTACTTTTATTTCTCTTGAATATATTCCTAGGAAGGAAATTGCTGAGTCTATGTGGTAACTATGTTTAGCCTCTTGAGGAACTGCCAGGATTTGTCCAAAATGACTGCACCATTTAACATTCAAAAGAAAGGTTTCAAGTATCACTCTATGACTTAAAACAGGAGGAAGATAGTAGCATTTTTTCGCTGTATTTATGGACACAGGATTAAGCTTAAAGCCTTCACCCTGGGTATATCAAGGGTATCCTATAATGTAGATGAGTAGAGCCATAGCAAGATTAAGTTCTTACATCTTTGCAGAAGGAAATGAACACATTCATTTGAAGTTGACATTTGTTCTTCAGTTATTGCATTCTACGTACAGTACAATAGGGAGAACTGGGGTTTGTGAAACTTTAACTTGCCCAAAGTAGGTACTGCTTAAATGATTCGTTTCAAAACTGAAAAAAATCTGTAAATTTGAATTGTCACCTGGTATTAAATAAAAGTCTTCCTATGAACTCCAGAGTTTTCTGCTCTTCTGGACTGTAATTCATAAATTGGCAGTCTAAAGTTGTCTTACATTTAGATCCGTTTTAATTGACTAAATGTTTTGATTGAAATTGAATGCATCCAGATATTTGAATATATTTACTATTCCCATGGTAAAATCCGCTTTTTGTTGTCTGAATTCCAGCCCCATAGTAATCTTAGTTTTCCTACCCAACTTCTGAAAACACAAGTTTGTGGCCCCTTTCCTAGGCTTAGAAAAGTTAGGATATTACCCTGTTAGGTTACATGATTTAGAAAAGTCACCCTTTTTATGTGTCTGTGTCTAATCCCAAGGAAAAAAAGCACCTTTAAGCTATTGTTTAGAGAGGAAGTACCACTGTCATAACCAGGTTACTCAGCCCCTTTCCTGTTTCTAAAGCCTTACTTTTTATTTGCATCTCTAAAGACAGCATAGAGTGAAAGGAAAATTTTGCATGTACAAATCAGTCTTTTGGATCTATAGGCTTCTATGTGCTCAAATTCGATCAATTATAGATGGAAAATACATTTTTAAATAATACTGAACATGTGTAGGTTTTTTCTTACTATTCTTAAATAACATAGCATAACAGTTACCTCCAGTTTACATGGTGGTAGTTATTACATGTAACCAAGAGATGATTTTAAATGTAAAGGACAAGTTGGGGATGTGCCTCAGTGCTAAGAGTGCATGCCTAGTATGCATATAGCCCTGAATTCTATCCAGCACCATAAAAAATATCTATAAGGACTCTCATAGGTTATATACAAACATCACATAATTTTATGTAAGAGGCTTGAGCATCCTTGGATTTTGATATCCATGGTAGTTCTATAACCAGTCCTCCTAAGAAAACAACTGATTTTTAAATGTTGCTCATTTCCTAAGTATTAATATATTTTCATAAATTAAGGATGTTCCTTTAATTTATCCAAAGCTTAGATCTTTTAGCTTACAACCATTGGATCTCAGATCAAAGTGGAGTGCTACTCACAGCTGCAGTTTCTATCAGATGCAGTTCAGTTACTAAAACCAATTCTTTTAAGATTACATGTTTTTTCCACTAGTTGTCAGTAGGGATACCATTGCCAAATCATTAAGAAGTACCTAAAATGATACTGAATCTAAGTCTTCTATTTCTGAGTTTACTAGCCAGTCTGGATGTATTTGTTACTGCAGAGTTCAGTAATCCTGCCTCCTTTTTTCCTTATTTATAATAGTTATGGCTAAAATAAATGTGTTCAGTATTTTATAATTCTTTTAGGTCAATAGTGATAATGGGAAATTTTCAATTAAATAGACTGTTTCTGTCTTTTGTAGGATAAAAGAGTGCATCACTTTAGAAGAAGTCGCACAGTGCTTAAATCTGATCATCTCTGCTAACTTTCGAGTCTTAGGAAGTTGCTGGTTTTGAATATTAAGAAACCACTGAAAGTTGTTCACGACTATAGAAATTTAATTCTAAATTTTGATAAATCACATTCAGATAAGTTATTGTAGATGTCTAGTTTTGTGTAACATTGAAACTTCTCAGATGTTTATTTAGAAACTTTTTCTGTGTTCAATATATAATTAAAAGTAAAAAATAAAAGTAAAAAGTAATTTCAAATTGAAACAGTAGTTGAAAGAAATAACTTAATATTTAACTGTAAGGATTTTTAAAATTGAAATTGGCATCTTAAGAGTTTAAAAGCTAATACTTTCAAAAAATTGTTTTAATAATCTGTTTTGAAAGGTCAGAATTTTGATAGTTTGAATACACGTATATCACTTCTCCAACAAGTACTTGTAAACAGTACAGTATTTACAGTATTGCGCTTTACATTTATGATCTGTCTAAAAATTTACCTCAAAAGCAGAATGTTTAAAACTGCTTTTTTTAATCAGTGGAACTCAACATGTGGTTAGCTTTATTGAAGTCTTTCTTATATAAACCCAGTAAAATAGATTCTAAACCAACAGTCCAATCAGTGGATCTTACATTTATTGAAAATATTTTATCCTTTACCTAGAATCCACACATACATACACATAAGTATTTTATTTGATTGGGATGATAATTAGGATAACTCAAATTCTGGGCCTAATTTTTTAAAGAATCCAAGGCAAACTAATAGGTACATAAACTTCTTAGTTAACATTCTCCTTTTTGCATTTAAATTTTTTCCTTGAAATGCTCAATAGCTGTATCTTAAATTGTGCAAAATACTAGTATTAAAGAACGCTGAAATTTTTTTATGTCACTTAAAGGTTAATCAGAGTATCTGAAAGGAATTGTTTTTATAAAAATATTATTATAAGTAAATTTTTTATTTTGTTAGGCTATAATATTTCCTTTTGTAAAGTAACATGTCCCAAGGAGTTAAAAGTGTAGGTAATTTTGGCATTTCTAAACTGCACAGAAAGTTTTATAAGTATATCCAAGAATATACTAGAGTCAGAGTTAACATTCTCTTTCTAGATGAGCTGATCTCTTTATTGGACATTGTGCATTATGACAGACAACTAGAGCACTAGAGCTGCTGTTGTACCCACAGGCTTGCTTTTCCAGTCTGTACTTCCATTTTTCCAGGAGGTTTGCTCCTAGAACTCATGGCATGAGCAGTTTGAGAGGGTAAGCCTTATAAGGTAGCAGTGTGATAATACCTTTCTAAGGGAAAAAGTTGTATTCATGTGATTTAACCTGCCATGTCTAAAATGCCTTTCTGGTCTTTCTTCTAGACTGACTTCCTCCTAAAGCATGGAGATTCCACTTAGCCCTAACCTTATGTAAATTACCATGGGTTGTACTATGAGTGCCCATATGGTCTTTAATTCTTAGTAATTTTCATTCTGGATCTAAAAAGTGGGGTCTTTTAACTTGAGGGTTCCTCAAGAAGTCTTTATACACCTTGAAAGTGCCCTAAAATTTGTCTTTTTAAAAATTCTCTGCCCTTTTTGATGGGGAGGGGCCTGTAATATTCTTTTATATATATACATATATATATATTATTCTGTGATTAAATCTGTAACTTACTATAAATGATACCTAAGTTCTAAGGAGCCAATTCTTTTTGTTCCAGTATGACCTTAATGAAAAGTAAGAAAACAAACTTTTATTTATCTTATTTTGTTGGAGTGAGATTTTTAAAGTAGAAAAAAAAAGACCTTTCAAAATGGAAGATTAACTTTAAATTTAAAATATGTTCCTGTTATTTACTGCTAATACTGTCTTTGCATAAATAAACTTTTTTTCAAAAGTATTTGACCTTACAGATGTCATTATTTAAAAAACAGTGGGAAATAGGGTGGTTAGTGTACAAGATTTAGAGCCTTGAAATTTGAATGTATAAATACTGCTGTTTGTTAAAAGAGCAGACAGCTTCTCTTGCAAGAAATATGTATGTATATACATGCATACATGTGTGCATATATGCACATCTACATGTTTTTGTAGAACGGTCTGTCCTATATTGGGTTGGAAATGGGTAACAGAGGATTCTACTATGGTGCATGAGCATAGTACCTAGTAAGAATACATGAACACATCTGACTTAATTCCTGTGACCAAGAATCTTCTAATTTTGACCCTGTGAAATACTTTTGTTTGTATCATACTTTGGGCATAATCTCTCTGACTCTTTTGTTTTGGGGTATTGCAGTTGTCCAGTAGAGTTTCAAGTTTTCATATTGGATTCATACAAAGGTGCATTCAAAATACCAGTATTCACCATCTCTTCCGGTTGTAGTTTCAGTAGTCTTTCATAACCGAGGCTGTGAGAGAAGAAATTCTCCCCTTCAAACATTCTGTTGAATTCTATTTCATCACTTGGTGTAGGCCCTTATCAATAGATTCATTTATTATTAGAAATTGGACCGTGACACTAAGATTCTAGAAGACAGGAGAGTGGTTTTTGAACTGCCAGGTGAAATTTTGATGTTTATAGTATAATTACTAAAAGTAATCCTTATATATACGTGTATATACATGCAGGTGTCTTTTAAAAGGTGTCTTTAAATTGCTTTGAGCATATTTGCCATTGGGGATTACAAGAAAATTCTCAAAACCGTCTCTGAGTTTAAAAATTCTATATACATCACTTTCGTAGAGAAATTGGAGATAAGCAAAAGCAACTCAAAATAAGATGATCTTTTAAAAAATACTTCCTTTGTAACTGTTCAGTGCTTCAAAATTGATACTGTCCTTATCACAAAGTCATTACTTTCAAAAATAACTCCACAGCACTTTTCTGTAACTGTAAAGCCCTCTACCCACTTAAAAGTCCTCTTGGTTTTCTGTAGACTTACAGAAGTGGCCTGCTCCATTGCTTAATCACCTTGCTTGCTCTTCTTGCTGATACTTGAGTAAGAAGGAGCAGCAGTGACAAGATAGTGTACTACCCTGCTTTCACAAAGATGGCAGTAGAAAAGGTGGGGAACCATAAGGGGGTGAAAATGGCTGTATTTTCTATTGACCAAGTCTTGAAACTAGGGCCAGCTGTTGAATACAATTTAAAATCCCTGAAACACTTCTTTTAGATGAGGGTTGCTCCTGTACATATTTTAATAACTATAGTCCTTCCCAACATTATGCATAACATGTCTGTGTGTGTAACATACTTTTGAGCAATTTCTCACAACCCATCAAAGAGTTTTCCATCTGTAAGCAGTACATTTGGTGGTAGAAAACAATAAGCACAAGAAGTTCAAACTATAAACATACGTTTTTGAATGCTCATGCAAAATATTCAATCTGCATAGCAAAGGAATGATAGGTAGTTCTGCATTGCATTTAGAGTTAAACATCTGTCCAATATGGCTATAGCTGTAGGCCAATCCCAAGAATGCAAAATAACTGTCTCTTGGTACAGAAGTTGAAATTACCACTGTGCAATTAAATTCAATGGCAGCCATATTTCACTTTTTTAACTGGTCTAAAAGTTTGCTAGTTAAGTCTAGTTCATTTTCCCAAGGCAAGACTTTGTGTCTTAGTGCACCTCCATTAAGGCTGCATGCCAGGAATGTGCTTTTACGCACAAGTAAAATTCCAAGATACCAGTTCAGTAGGTCCTTAACAATAGGATAAATGCTTACATGACTAGAATATTCAGGTCATGAAAGCTCTTTAGAAACCTAAAGTAACAGTAACATTTCATGCAGTTCAGAAAGTTAGAGCCTTTGTAATCCTAAATTGGTCCTTTTTTACAGAGAAAATCTAGCAAAAATATATTAAGGTTGTAGTCACGTATTTTGTCTCCTCCAAATAGGTAACACTGTTGTCTCAATCCTGGATGAAACATTTATTGTAAAGACCTGACAGTTGATCTTTACCAATATAGTCAGACCAGCTGTTTACAGTGAACAGCCCTTGTATGTTTATTAAACATTTTTGACGTTACTCCCGCCCAATAATTATCTGGCTGAGCCAGTGAGACTGGAGAGAGGTAATTTAAAATAGAAGCCATTTTCTCTTCATCTTGGTTAGCCCCACTACCTAATGTTTGAGTTGCTTTACTGTAAGTAAAATCTGAACAACTTTTAAACAATAAACCTGAGTGAAATTTAACTGCCTCTTTTCTGAACAAGACTTGATTGCTGTTTATTTTCACTGTTGGCATGTATGTCTTGCTCAAAACAAAAACGTATATACCCACTGTCCAAGATTATATCCGTGATTAGCCTCAGGCCAATATTTGATAAGCAAGTTTTCTCAGTGATACTAATCTCATGAGGTCAAAAAGTATCAGAACCACCATTAAAGATGTTTCAGAAGTGCAGACTCCTGGGCCCCACCTCAGGAAATGCTACTCTGAAGGTCTGGCGGGTCTACACATCTTCACTCTGAGTAAGTGTCCCAGGTAATCCTCACTGTGCAGCGTGCATTTTGAGAAATGCTGCCCTGAGTGAGGATCTCTCAGTATTATCTCGAGCTATCCTTGGTGTTACGGTGGCTGGATTTGGAGGACACCCCTGTCAAGTTCATCGTGATTTGTAAGGGATTTTGTTCTTAATTCATCTTTCTCTACTAAGCCAGTGCCCAGCCATGCCAGTTACCCACAGGAAAGGATGACTCGAACAAGCTAAAAACAAATCTGAAAACCAAGACCTAATGGCCAGAAAGAAGGAAGTAGATAGCAGAAGCAAAGCTGGATTCTGAGATCTACTGTGGGCAGATCAAGAGTGAAGACCAGGCTCAGCTGGGAGGGGACAGAGTGGATACTATATAGGCAAAGATACTAGATTCAAGTCGTTGGCTCACTTGGCAAGCTAACACTATGTAAGTAATAGCACTTAAATGGTATTACTCATGAGTTTTGAACAGTGTGGCCTGACATTGTTTTTAGAATTAGCTAATATATCCTTAACAAAAATTATAAGAAAAATAAATGTTAAAGGATCAAGTTCCAGAGGTAGTGTTAGGCATTTGATATCTACCTAGTTTTTGTGTGTGTTTTAAAACACACTATACACATGTACATAAAACTAAGAATACGTTTAAAGAGTAATTACCCAATTTCACTTAACATTCTGTTATTTAGAAATTATCTATGTGCCCTCTTTGATCACATCCTTTTCCTTCCTGACAGGAGATAGCCACTGAATTTAATTTTTAGTCTGATAAATAGTTTTATACTTGGTCTTGAACTTTAAAAGGACTTACACTGCTTCTAGCTTTTTTGTCTGCACATTGTTGGACTCATCCATGTTGATTAAAGGCTTCATTACTCTAGTTTTTTCTTGTTCAGGGAAAACTGAATCTTACTTTTTTTAAATTTTAAATGCTTATTGATGGGTTGATTGCTATTAATATGCTGCTGTGAACATTTGTATGCCTCTAATCACTTTACAACTCATCTTGAGATACATAATAGAACATCATACAAAGAATATAAACTTTGAAGTACTAGTCCCAGTGACTTCTGTGTAAAACTAGTAAGCTTGGACAAGCTTATCTTTGATCTTCAGTTTCTTCCTCTGTAATACAGTAATTCTCATGTCGACTTTATAAAGTCACTGTGAATTTAGTTTGAGCAACCTAACAATGTGATTAGTTTCCCATCTACAATTTTGCCTGCTCATCCCCCAGTCAAGACCACAGAGGCTGCTTCTAGCCTTTATATTTCAGTGACCAGCACTTCACTCACGTTCCATGTATAGACTTGTTACAGTTTAACAAATAGGTGCTATGCTTTATTTTGAGATGTAATAATTTTTGCACCTTATTTGGTAGCAGAAACCAGTTCAGTATGCTAGCATATTTAGGATGTATTCTAAAATGAATTATTTTTCTAAGAATACATTGAAAACTCCACAGTACAGCAGTTTATAAAGAAAATATCTGGTGCTGTTTAGAAATGTGTTCAATAATTCTTCCTTTATAGAATCTTTAACAAAAATAATTTTTGAGCTGACATTCACATGACAAAAAATGAACTATTTTAAGTGGCATTTCACAATATTATGCAACCTCTACTTATATTTTGTTTTTATATATTTCCATTATTCCAGAGAAAAATCCCTTGCACATTAAGCAGTTTCTTCTCTTCTTACCCGTCTCCCTGGTTACCACCAACACCACCAGTTGTCTCTGGGTTTATCTATTCTGAATGTCCATATAAATTAATTATACAGTTTGTGACCTTTTGTGTCTTGTTTCATTTCACTTAGCATGTTTTGTTCATTTAGTATAACACTGTAGCATGTCTCAATACTTTTGTTCCTTTTTATGGATGAGTAATATTCCATTGTATGGATAATATATTTTGCTTATCCATTCATTTGTTGATAGACATTTGGTCTGTTTCTATCTTTTGACTGTTGTGTAATTCTGCTATGAATATGTGTACAGGCACTTGTTTGAATTCCTCCTTTCAATTTGTGGGTAAATATTTAGGAGTGTGGCTGCAGGGTTATGCAGTATTCCTATGTTTAATCATTTGAGAGATTTACAAACTTTTCCATAGCAGGTGAATTACATCACATTCACAGTAGCAATATATGAGTTCCAGTTTCTCATCAACATTTGTTATTTTTCTATTGCCATCCTAGTAGGGATGAAGGGATACTTCATTGTGGTTTTGATTTGCATTTCCCTAATGTTAAGTGTCATTTATGCATTTGTTGATCATTTGGATATATCTGTAAAAATATCTCATATCTTTTGCTCATTTTTCAATTGTTGCCAAGTTGTTAGTTTTTTATACATATATTCTGGACACTAGATTCTTATCAGAGTTATGATAGGCAGATATTTTCTCCACCT